GGGGGGGCGGCGGGGGCCCGCGGCGGCGCTCGGGCGGGCGGACTACTTGACGTGTCGGTGCGGCGAATTTATTTCACTTTGCCTAAGGAACGGGGTGTGCTGCGGCCCCCATTGCCTAGGGAAAAAACCCGGATGTAAAGTGAGTGAAACTAAACTAGAGTGAAGTAGGGCAGCAGCAGCCAAACTCCAGTGCAGCGGCGACGGCGGTGGTGATGGGGCTGAGCACCGAGCGGCGGCGGCCAAACTCCGATGCCGCCGCAATGATGGGCCGGTGCAGCGCTGCAGCTCGGCTCCCATGCAGCTGCAGCCGAGGCGAGGCCGGAGCTCGCTGCGGCCCCCCCAACTCCGCGGCCGGAGCCCAACTCCCCCTCCCGCCGCCAGGAGCTGCAAAGGGGCTCCGGAGCGGCCCCAACTCCCTCCAGTGCAACAGCAGTTTTAAGGGGGGAATAAAGCCGCGAGGGCAGGAGCGAAGAGAATCAACGGAGAAGCACTGCAATGGGGGAGCGTGGTCCAGGCAACAGGAGAAAGATGCAACCTCAAGTCATATGCAACATGCAATCCCTGGCCGCCGCTCGCCGGCTCCCTCCCCTCGCCACCCCGCCCCCTTTCCAAATAACTACCCTTGAACCACTTTATTAGCTGTACTTAGTCCCACACTCGCTTTGGGGAGGGGCCGGGGCCGGGGTCCTTCGCTCACCTTTATTTATTGCTGCTTTCTCCCCCCTCTCCATGTTTTTTATTCCTAAGTTCTTTTGTTCTAAGGGGGGATGATGGCATTTACTTTTATGCTTTGTGTAGCAGGGCAATCACTGGGAATCGGCCACGTATAATCCGGTGGTTTGTCATATTTTATTAGTGAAAGTATTTTATGCCTATTCTACCTCCAAGGACTGTAACATGGAGAACTGCAGGGAGGGAAAAAAAACACAGAAGAATTCTTGTTTTGAGAGATTTCTTGGCGGGGCGGAGGAGGGCTTTTTCTTTTTTTTTTCTTGGAGGGGGTTTATTTAGATATTTTAATCGATAATTTTCAACTTAAAGCTTGTTTTTGTATAGATATACTACTGGATTCTAAAATAACCTCCAGACACACACACACACACACACACACACACACACACACACACACACACAAGTCCAAAATTCTAGATTTAAAAAAAATAAAAATCCCTACTGGACAGAGATATCTATCCTGTGCAGCACGCTGGACTTAACATAGTGTTGGCCTTCGAATGTTAAATAACAATAAACCTCAACCTCAACTGAATACAAATGGGGGGTGGGGGTGGTTTTGTTTTTAAGGCTCAGCACTTTTGTAGCATCTGCCACTACGCATTTTCCAGGCATTGCTTAGCCATGCAACTCCCATAGGCATGAAGTCCAGTTTTTGCAGATAAAGAGCAACAGTGGTGAGATGATTTACCCAAAGTCAAACTGAGTCATTGGCAGAACCCAAATAGCCTTGGACTCTATTTATTACTAGTCTTATCTTTTCCATTAAATAATATTTCCTCCAAGAAGTAAACAGTATTTAAAAAATAAATAGACGTCCTTTTACCTTGTTATGTATCTCCACCAGAGGTGCTTTGAGATCCTTGGATGTGAAGGTATTTGCTTACTTATGTGACTTGCAACATTAAGTTTAGTTTCCCAAGAAATAAATAATTTTTAAAAATTCTGACTTCATAAAGCTAAAAAATAAAAGTATGGGCTTTATTTTACATGTGTAGGCCATTTCATACTCTGAGCTTTATGTTGAAAAAAAAAATTCAGAGCAGAGAAAGTGTATAAGAGTTTGAGAGTGAAAATGAAAGTCCCTATAAATGATTCAAGAAGCTTGGATGAACTCATAATGTTTGTGAAACTAAACCCATAACACAGTCAAGATGAATAACGGAAGGACCGTTTGGGTTGTAAGACCCAGCTTTACCACCCAGAGATAACTCTAATGTATTTAGAAGATGAGTAAGGGAGGCGGACTTTCAAGCTGCACTGACTAGGCACTGGAATCATAACCTAATGGTGTCATTTCAAATCAGCCCAGGCTGTCAAAATTTTTTCTGAGCAAGACTGCCTTACTATTCTTTCTAAAAAAAAAAGTTGAAAATTTTTCAGAATTTCATAGAAAAAATTCAGAAGCTCAAATTGCACCCAATAAATGCCATAGAACAGGGCTCAGCAAGCTATTTGCTATAAAAGCCCAGATAACACATATCTGAGACTTTGCAGACCATCCCGTTTCTGTCACAACTTCTCAACTCTCTGCGGCTGTAGTGCAAAAGCAGCCATAGAAGATATGTAAATAAATGAGCCTGGCTGTGTCTAATAAAGGTTTTATTTGTGGGCCTTGACATTAGAATTTTATGTACTTTTCATGTGTTACAAAATATTCTTTTAGTTTTTTCAACCACTGAAAAAAGTGTGAAAACATTCTTAGCTCCTGGGCCTCACAAAACCAGGGGGTGGGCAGGGTTGGGCCCACAAGCTGTTGCTTAATTACCCAGCCTTTAGAAGACTAACGTTGATTGAACCACTGAACTTCTTGTACCAGAGGTTGCTTGGTTATTAAGATGTTTGTATAGCGATCACAAATCAGTGTCATGCAAAATCATGTTTTAGATATTTATACTTAATTAAAATATTTTAACCAAATAATTGTCTGAACATTCCTATAACTAAAAAACCATGAAAAGAATACTCTCACTTATGATTTCATTGATAGATCACATTTCCATTGACATACTCGTCCCTCTAAGATGGTGAAGAGGAGTGGAACCAAGGGGGCCTGGATTTTGACACCTAAGAAGTATCACTCCTTTTTAGCTAAGGCACTTTGGGCAATTACTTAACCTCTCATAGCCTCAGTT